CTCCAAATCAGAATGCTCCATGGGCCTCAAGTCATGGCCTCCAATTTAGGAAATGAATCTACTAGTCACGTGATACTGGGCTGTTCCCACGGAAACCATGAGTCAGGATGGAGTTATTGACCAAGACTCTGAAAAAGCTGATCATTACTAGTTTGTCCTTCGACCTCCCCATTCAAGATCGTTCTGATGTTCTGGAATTAAGGTTGAAGCCACCAAAAGACCAGCTTCCACTTTGACCCTACCCAGGCCATGAACTGTTTACTTGTGGGAGGTTTCTTGCTACGAACTGTGGACCACCACCAGAAAGACAGATGAATCCTAACCAACAGTTTCCAAGCTTCTGCTGAGACTTTAGGCTCTGATTACTCCACCCCACCCTGCCACTTCCTCAATACTGCAAAAAAGCCAGCGCAAGCTGAAACCACCAACTGCAGATGCTCTCAAGGTGAGAGTTTCCCTCCCTCTCATTCCTGGTCCTATCAGGAGCCATCAGTGTTCTGGCCCCTCCAACCTCAATGCAGAGTAGACAAGAGGAGCTTTAGGGCAGTTCTGGCCTTCCTTTTTTTTTTTTTTTTTTTGAGAGGGTTTTTGCTATAGGGCACATGCACTCGCCAGACATACAGAGAGACAGAAAGCGAGAAATCACCCCCCAGGGGGGATGGCCACACCGCAATGCTTTCTCCTCCATTCTCCTCTCGGGATCTTGGGCACGCACACACACGCGCCTGGCGTGAGTTTGAAGCCACCGGGTCTGGGACGCGAACCGCGGTCGACTATGTGGGAGTCCAGCAACATAGCCATTATGCCAACTGCTGGTCCCAGTTCTGGCCTTCCTTGATCTGCAGCCCTTCTCAGACATTCCCACCCTTTATTCCATCAATAAACTCCCAGAAAAAAATCTACTTCACCCTTAAAAACTATGATGAGGAAAAAAAAAAAATCCCTAATTCCAGGAGGATATTTTCCTGACTAGAGATGCAATCATTCTATACAGCAGAGAAGAAATCAATGCACCCCCCAAGAGCTAAGTTTCAGGGCAGGGGATATGCTGGGCCTCCCTGCCTGGCCTTCTGGTTTGAAAAATCATCACTTGCTACTTTTAATAAAGACAAGGGGGCCAAGCAGATGGCGTGAAGGTTAAGGTGGCTTGAAAAACATGCTGGAAGGGCCAGCAGATAGCATAATAGTTGAGGGCTCCCATGTGGCTGACCGCAGTTTGAGTCCCAGACCTAGGGGCTTGAAACTCACACTGAGAGTGTGTGTGCGCGTGCCCAGAATTCCAGGAGCAGAGTAGAGGACAGGGGACTGTGGTGTGGCCATCCATCCTGAGGGATGATTTCTCACTGTCTGTCTCTGTCTCTCTGGCAAATGCACGCACCCTATAGCAGAAATCTCTCAAAAAATAAAAAATAAGAAAAACACATCAAGCATGTGTGCATGTGTGCCCAAAATCCCAGGAAGGGACTGTGAGGGGGCCATCCCCCCGGAGAGGGCTTTCTCACTTTCCCTCTCTCCATCTCTGTCTTTCTCTGATGAGTGCACACATCCTATAGCTAAAATAATATAAAAAGACAAGAAGCTCCCCAAAGGAGGTGAATTTGCAGGACCCTCCACCCCAAGCCAACATCTGTCAGCCCAGGCACCGGGTCCCAATGCCCCCAAGTACATCTCAAGTGCCTCCAGGGATCATAGTACCTATCCAGGCAGCCCCTCTTATCCCCAGGCTCCTCCACCTTGCTCCTCTTATCTGTCCTTCTCAGAACCCCCAGATGATGTTCAAGGTCGACCTCAGGGCCCCACTCCCAGGGCTCCATAGCTCTTATCAGACATGTAGCCCATTACTGGAGATAATCCTCTAGGGGTCAGTGCCTGTCTGTCCCTCCTGGGGGCCAAGAAGCTTGGATATCTATCTCAGCTCAAGAGTGCTGTGGGCTCTGTTGGCCTGATTTCATTTTTCAAAGGTCCAGTTCAGATTTGGAACAGAGTAGAAGTTACCACATGGAGCACCCTGCTGACACTGCAGGAAAGGGAGAAGCCCGGTGACTGAGCACCATACTGGCCGACAAACTTCACTCCAACTCCAGTTTAACCAGAAGGTGGATAGGAATGGGGAGAAGTTGACTCAGAAGGAAGCAAAGAACAAGGCTACACCAGGAGAGGAGAGTGGCTTTAAGGAGGTTTGAGAAGCACAATGGGGGAGGGGGCCAGCAGGTGGCATAGTGGTTGAGGACTCCCATGTGGCTGATTGTAGTTCAGAGTCCCAGACCCAGGGGCTTGAAATTCACAATGGAGCGTGTGTGTATGTGCCCAGAATCGCAAGAGAGTAGAGGAAGCTCAGAGAAAGGATGAAATAAGAGAACTTTCATCAGTTTTCTGCTGTCCAAGAGACCAACCCTGAGTCAGCATGACCCATGGAACCTTCATGTGGCCAGATCTTCATACACGGGGACATCAGACCCAGAAACCATAAAAGGACAGAGGGCAAACCAAGCCCATTTGTTACCCCCTGCTCTCCATCAGAGGAAAATTCTGGGTCTCAGTCTTTCCAGCAGTCACTTAGCATGGCTAGGGAGGGCCGCAGAGATTTCTTGCCCTGCTGGTTTGTTGCACAACCAGAGACAGCCATCACATTTCCCAGCCGAGTCATGGAGGGCTCAGAAATGCACACACTCAATTCCAACATTAACAAGCTCCCAAACAGACACAGTCCCAGAAGGTAAAAGGGGCTGGCTCAGTCTCTACTCAGTCATCCAGTATGCCAACAGCTTGGGGCAGGTTGCATACAGCTGCCCAGATATACAAAATAAATGTCTTTCTTCAACTGAAAGTGACACCAGGAGAATTCGCACTGAGCACTGGTTATCTGTACCTTAAAACAAATATGCAAAGTGAATGAAAAGTGGGGCCGCTCAGAGCCCAACTCAGTGGTCACAAGTCCTGTATACAACTACGAACAATGTAAAGGACTTACCTCATCTACAGACACAGGCAGGATGACTCGACTGCAAGAGAAGGAAAGAGACATCAACTTCAGGCTCTGAAACCTGCTCAGTGCTCTTAAAGCACCATCTTAGAGCAGTATTCAATGTTTTGTTGCATATGATTCTATACAGAAAGAAAAAAAAAAAAACAGCAGAAAATAGACCCCAAGTGTTACAGGTTAAGACCCTTCATACCCTTCAGGCATCCCATTTAGAATCTTTGCTTCAGTGTAGACCGGTCCCACCACCAGCAACTTCCCAGTCTTGGACTCACATTTAGAACTGTTTGCTTTTCCCCTTTTTTTACCCCGTCTTCCCCAAAAAGGCTTGCCAATGAGTCTAGTAAACAGAGAGGCTAACATAGGAAAATCTACCACAACGAAGTTTCAGACCCCCAAAAAACAGGCCCTGGGGGTTGACATCTCTGTGGACCCAAACTGCCAACAAATGCCCTCCAGGTAAATGACTACAAGGGGACCAAGTCTCTAAATCACTCTACAAGCAGGGACCATCCATCTCTGCTCTGGGGTAAAATACTAGAAAACAAATCAGCAAAAGAGAAGACTCAGCTTGTGTCCTGGCCTCCAGAAGTGGTCCAAAGGTATCTCAACTGATTATTTTTCTTTTCCATGTCAGTGACCACCCAGTTGGCTATTGGAGGTACCATCAATTCGTTGTTGGAGAAGCCGTGGCCAGCAAAGTCCCCACAAAGGCCAGAATTCCACAAGGTGTAAAGAGCTAGCAGCCCTTCCCTGCGTAGCTTGCATCTGTAACACAGACCGATGGCCACCCCCCAGTTCAAAGCTGTGAGGTCAGAGAGTGAGACAAAACCCCAGGGCTGCGCTCATACATTCTCAGTCCCCAGGCCCTTTCTGGAACCTGCTGGGTCCTTCTACGGTCTTGTGTGTTTCATGAACCATGAGTTGCTCCGCTCTCCTTCCTGTGCAATTGGGCTCTTTGCTCCAGGATGGTAAATAGCTCACTATTTTCAGGTTCCACCAAAGTCTCCAGGAAGTAAGAAGCACACAGAGGGGTCTAAAGAAAACCTCACACTAAAGAAAAGGCACCAAGCAGAAAAGTAGCAGGACAAACAAAATAACTAGGCCCCAAGTCTTTATGGCCCGAGTACAACTCCCTTCCTCTAGAACGACTCAAATAACGTTATCTCCTCCAGTTTACTGGATACCGCCACTAACGCTCTCCTCTCATCAGAGAAAGCCAGCGGGGCAGAAAAACACTCCCAACTTGGAGACCAGAATTTCTGCACCCTCAGAAGAAACTTCCTAGAAAACAATAAGTCTTTTATCTTCAAGAACAGCAGAAAAAAATCACATCCAAGAAATTGCAGAAATTAAATCAAGGCGAATCCTGTTAGAGGAAGTGTCAGAAAAATCAACAGGACAAACTTCAGACCCTGGGCAGGCACTGAGTCTCCCCCAAAAGAGACCAGCATGGGCCAGTTCCGGATAGGATGGTCTGCGGCTGTTTACCTCACAGCTGCACAGCCAGACATGTCTCCCCCACTCCTTGGGAATAAAACCACTTCAGCAGCCATGGGTACAATTCCGAAGGATAGGGCCAGAGGCCCTGCTGGGCTGAGACTGGAGCAGTCTCACTCTAGTGTGACCTTCACTCGCACCTTCCCAGGGCTGCAGCGCTGCAGCCATAGCCAAGTGTCTCAGGTGCCCCCCACCGCCCCGCCCCATACCCAGGGATGTACGCACAGGGCACAAGGCCGGCAGGGAGGAAACGCAGATGCCACACAGGCTCTGTACCCCCGGCACCTTGGATCTTCGCCTGTAAGGCTTCAAGGAGAGGAGAACAAAGAATGGGAAAGGAGTACCTATCTTTAAAACTCACTCAGATCTCTGCTGAAGGTCCCTTCCTTTCCCTGCCTGACATTCTTTTCAAAACTACAGATTCTGGGATTCATATGGGAGTAGGGAAAAGGATCAGAAGAGTGGGAAAGGGCTGTTAGTCTGAACATTTGAGATTAAAATCCAAAGTGCACCATGTTCTACTCTGTTGGCAGCTTACAGTTCTTCCTCACCACATAAAGATCTGACCACTGGTTGGATTAACATCAGATTGGATGTCAAAGAAATAGAGGTGACGTGGGACCAGCAGTTAGCGTAATGGCTATGTTGCTGAACTCCCATGTAGTCAACTGAGGTTCGAGTCCTGGACCCAGTGGTTTAAACTCACACCAGGCACGTGTATGTGCGTACCCAAGATCCCAAGAGGAGAATGGAGGAGAAGGGACTGCGGCATAGCCATCCCCGCTGGGGGGTGATTTCTCGCTTTCTGTCTGTCTGTCTCTGTCTTTCTGGTGAGCGCATGCGCCCTATAGCGAAAACCTCTCCAAAAAAAAAGAAATAGAGGTGACAGGGCATCAAAATAAAGTTCTTCACAGGCTGGCAGGTGGCATGGTGGTTCCGGACCTGGCGGCTTACTCTTTATTTTTTAAATATTCTTTTAAAATGTATTTATTTATATATTTGTTTGTTTATTTAAATTTGACCAGAGAGGGACAGTGTGAGAGAGAGAGCAAGTGAGCAAAAAAGCAAGCTGCCAGGTCCAGGTCTTGAACCGTGATCAGTCATGTGGGAGTCCAGTGTCCTTAACCACTACGCCACCTGCTGGCCCCAATAAAATAATTCTTTAAAAAATAGAAACAAAATAAAGCTCTTCAGAAGAGATATCCCTGTTACCCAAGCTCTACACCATGTCCTAAATGTCTTCAAAACTTCTAAGGAGCGAAGCTGGTGGGGATGGACAAAGCACCCTCACTGACAAACAGGTAAGGCCTTCTGCACACCTGCCTGGCTACTAAGAGAGTTTACAAGTTGCTCTGTGCATGGACATCTCCCACTTCAGATTTCTGAGGCCGCTGGCCCAACTCTGTCTAACTGCTCTCCCTCCAGGGAAACGTAGTTTCACTGTAAATTCTGCACACGCTCAACCAATCTCTCCCCTTCAGGGGTAAGAAAAGGTCCTGTGATGTTTACTTGGAACCATGAGCTTCAAGAATGGCTCATCTCATACTTGAAACACTTAGTAATCCAAACAGCCTCAACCAGTGCTCTGGTTTCGGGAGGAAACCTATCTCCCTGCAACTCCTACTGGAAGGCACCAGTTTCCTACTCCCCAGGCACTAAGGATCTCCCTCACTCTACGCCGTAGGTCCTCAGTTAATGGCTGTATGAAAACCTTGACTCCTCAAAGCAATGACCCATTCTCTCTGCACCAAGACTGAGAACCCCCTAGAGACAGACTGTCCCTGCTCTGTGTGTGCCCCTCCCCCCATATTACATATATTCATTTACAGACAAACTGGACTGTCCTTTGCCCTGGTAACTTCCTAGCCCCCTTCATCACCATAACTAGACCCGCATGTCACTTCAGACCTTCCCTAATATAATCTGGACTCCTCATCCGAGTGTCTCCATGTCCCAAGCAGTCATCCTAAGCTTGCATCTAAATGCCTTCTCTTCTGCACCCACCCGGTGGGCACCTTGTCATTCCAGCTTCCTGTATCTCAGGCCCCTCTGCTGTATCTCCTCTGACCCTTCTCCTGTCATTCAAGCCTAGCCCTGACTCTCCAGTCCTTTTCCTGTTTTCACTATTACAATCTTTCACCCATGCCTAAGGCAGCCACCCCTCTTACTCCAGGTCTTGCTCACACTCTCCCGCATCCCCTGGATTCCACCCCACAGCCGTCTACTGATCTTCCTGCTCCTCAGCACGGTTCGGCTCCCCAGCCCCTCCCTGCCAGGCCGGCTCACCGGCCCTGCCTGCCCTTGTCCGACTGCTCCTCGGCCCCTCCGACAACTCCTTCCTCTCCGGCTGGACCTCTTGGCACCTCCTGCAGTTCTGGCTGGCCCCTTCACCCCGCAGCCCTCACCCAAGGACCACCCTGAATCTCGCCCAGTGCTCTCGACCAGTGCTCTCGACCCCCTGCGCCCCTCCTCATGCCCTGTTCGGCTCTCGCTGTCCCCTTGACCCCATCTCGGGCGCAGTCCAGCCCTCATTGTTCCCCTGGCCTCCCCTCAGGCCTGTTCGGCCCTCACTGCCCCTCGGCACCCCCTCAGGTGCTGTCCGGCCCGCTCTAGTCCCCTTGGCCCCACCGCAGGCCCTGTCCGGCCCTCTGTCCCCTCTGCCCCTGCTGGGCCGCCCCACAGCCCATCCAGCGCGCTCCAGCCCCTCCGCCGCACCATCAGCCTCCCGGGTCGTCATCCCGACCCTCCCTTCCTCCTGGCTTCCGCACCGCGGGCCGGACACTCACTACTCCTTGAGCAGCACCATGTCGCTTAGTGGCTCCCCCGGTGCCTGCTGACCGCCCGGCCTCCCGCCCGCTTCCCGGAGGCCGCTCTCCGCGTGGCCCGGCCCGGCCCCGCTGCCTGTGCGCCTTCGTCGTGGTCTGCTC